GATTCACTAATATTTTCAATTGGCTTGAAAACTCTATCATAAATAAGTAATATTATGTTTATATTTATAATAAAATAAACCTAAAAGACTTAATAAAGTTTTTGCATTATTAGTAATGCTCTTTGAGATTTTATTTTGTATGCAATAATCCTTTGCTATATCTTGTAAATTTTTTGCTATTTTATCATATGTATGCTTACCAGTCATTCTTTTACAAGCCAACGCTACATTTTTTCTTTCCAAACTTGGATCTATATAGTGTGCAGTGACTCCTATGTATGAACTAAAAATTAACATTTCTTAAAACTGCTCAAATAATTTGTTTGTAATTAAATTATTATACAAATTTAAATGTTAGCTATACCGGCGATAGGCACTCCAACAATCTGCTGTTGTACATATTAACGATGGTTCTATTAGACTTTTAATGATTTCTTTTTTTTCATTCTCCCATCTTTGGGAGATTCTAGCAACCACTGTCTGTCGGCAAATTATATTTTTTTTGTGGAGCTAATTTTTGATCATTTTTATAAATGATGGATTTTCAACAATTGAAAATGGCTGAATGCTATTTATAATAAAATCAGTTATTAAATCATCTAAAGTGGTTTGGGTTAAAGTCTGAGGTCTCTTGTAAAAAAACAATGGACGATGAGCCTAGTCCAATATTTTCTTTAATAGGTTTTTTCTCCTTCCCCTTTTTTATTTAGATTATGAGTGTTTGATGTTTTCTCTTAAAATTTAAAATTGTAAATATTTATTTAGTATCTATACCCTTAAATGTTTTACAATGTTGCAAGTTGAGGTAATGCTAACTGAAATTTGCATATTTTTTGGTAGACATGGCAAACATTTTACTAACAGAGATTTGTTTTCTTTATTTTGAGATATTATTTTAAAATATGGTCTATAAATTGGCCATGGAAGAATGTCGTCATTTTCGTCATCAATATTAATCTTAAAAATTAATATAATAGAATAAAATAAAATACCAATTCCATTGCAATTAAATGGCAAATTCCTTGAGATGGATTGTAATATCAGAATTTGCTTGTTATTGATAACTCGGACATAATATTTAATTAATATTTTTATATTCTTTTTTATATATAAGTTTTAATATTTTATATATATATAATTTTTATATATTAATATTAAGTTATATGCTCATATGAAATAAAATAAATTTTACATTCAAGTATTTTTATTTATAATATAAAAAAGCGTTAAATAGAAGTTTATCAAATTGTATCTTAAAATGTATCTAAAAACAGATATAGATACCTCTAAAATAATATCTAGATACAGATACTTTAATCAAAAATCTATCTAGATACAGATACCACATTTTTATATCTAGATACTTGTATCTAGATATTTTAACAACTCTGTAAAATTCACAAAAGAATTCCTCAAAAAAGATTTAAAATTTTTATCAAAATATGTTTAAAAATCTTTTTGTACTTGAAAAAATATTTTTTGCTTAAAATTTTGGGCGTGTGAAAATCACTAATAAATTGTAACAAAAATAATATTACAATAGTAGCATATCATTTTTTTTATTAAAAAAATATCAAATAAAAGAAATCCATTTTTAATTTCATAATATAATAATATAAATAAAAATAAAAAAATAATAATAGGCCGCGTTATATTTCGCTAAATAGTTTTCGCTATATTGTCTTCGCGATTTATGTTTCGCGATATTGACATCGCTATAAAATTTTCGCGATAAAAATTTCGCTCTAATGTATTCGCTCTAAAGGTTTCGCCATGAGAGTTTCGCTATAAAAAATTCGCGATATTTGTTTCGCTATATTCACGGAAAAATATTCGCTAATATGGATTCGCGATAAAAGTTTCGCTATAAAATTCATTCGCGATAAACGACATTCGCGAAAAAGTGTTTCGCTATAAAAGTTTCGCTGAATTGACATGGAACCGATTATGACATATTTTACAAGTTATTATATTTTTAACTGATTTAATATATTTTGTACTTCAGTTTATATACTTTTTACAAATAATCTAAATACATCAATTAATTAACATACACAATTAACAATATATTTGAAACAATTAATCATATTATTAATTGCCTTTTGATGTTAATTAATTCTATTACATCTACTTTCTCCTTTTTGGGCTCTCGAATTTAAACAGTATAAATTGTTTTCTTATCCTTTTTGGATAACGTCTACTTGTATTTTCCTCTACCACGGGTTGATCTATACTGTCGATTTCCATCTTATCATTTATGCTAGTATATTGGTTATTGAGTCTTGTATCGGATCTGTCTTTGGTCATCGAATCTTGCATAGGATCAATGTCTTTGGTCATCGAGTCGTGCATAGGATCAATGTCTTTGGAAATAGAGAAGTCTTGTATAGGATCACTTTCATCCATTCTTGGTGTAGTTTGCATCTTTTCTCCTTCTCTTCCTTCCTCTATTTTTTAAATCGTAATCTTCTAACCTATGTTTTAACTGATTAATATGTCTTCTCCATAACCCTAATTTAGTTTTAGCTAAAAACGTTATTGTCCTGTTCTTTTAACGATGATACCTGGTATCCAAATATCCTTTTTAAAATCTTTTGCATATATTTTCTCATTTATATTAAAAACCTGGTAACTGGGGTATGTAATGAGGATTAATTAATTTTATTAATTGTAAGGGTCCTGTATGTTTTTTTTGTGGTTATTTGTGGCGTATTTCGATAATTGAACAGAAAATCTTGTATTTTATTATAATCGATATATTTTTAAAAAAATTTTTAAAAAGTTTGTACTAACCACTCCGCCTCTCCGTTGGATCTAGGGTGGTACGGGGCACTATATACATTTCTAATTGATAATTATTTGCAAAATAAACTGAATTCTCAACTTTGAAATGGGGGCCCATTATCCATAACAATCGTATTGGGGTAACCGAGAATAGCAAAAAGTCTTAACAATATTTTTTAAAAATTAATTGTCGACAGTTTTTGTATTTCAGGCCATTTACTAAAACTATATTATTACTAGATTTAAATCTCCGTTAATTGGTCCAGCAAAATCTAAATGAATTCTTCCCTATGGTTTATTTGTGGAGGGCCATTTCCCTATGATCGTTTTACCCCCAGGGTTATTTGTTTGACCTAATTCACAATCCTTACCATGTACTTCGATGTCGTTAATATTCGGCCACCATACGTTCTCTTGGGCCAATAATTTTGTTTTAGTATGACCCTGATGCCCCATATTTAAAAAAGACAATATTTTTACTTGTAATTTTTTTGGAATTATGGTTCTTAATCCACAAAATACCCTGCCTCCATCGTGAGTTCATTTCGGCGCTGGAAAAACGGTTTTAGATTTTCCTCTATTATCTTCAGCCACCCGATTGCAATGTAACGTGAAACCTTTGATAATACCGGGTCATTTCTTGTGTATGATTTTATATCTAACGCTGAAATAAATTGTGGAGCATCCGATACTATTAAATGGTTTACCCTCAATTGGGAAACTAGACAGCATTACTATTTTTTTTCGTCCCTCAAAGTTGCAATTCATAATCATAATTTGCTAGTAATAATGACCATCTTATTAATCTTGATGACATATCCGTTATTCTTTTATGAGAATTAAGTAACGTTATAAGTGGTTTATGATCAGTGATTATAGTAAAATGTTTACCAATTAAATATTGTTTAAATTTAATTAATCCAAATGTAATTGCTAAAACCTCACGCTCTATCTGACTGTAATTCCGTTCGGCAGTATTTAATGTTCGAGACACGAATCCAATCGGTTTCTCCTCTTTGTTAATGATATGAGATAGAACTGCTCCTATTCCATGTTGGGACGCATCAGCAGCTAGAATTATCTGTTTTTCCGGATCATAATGATATGAAATTGGTGCTTCTGACATTAATTTTTTAAATTTATTAACTACTTTTGTTTCATTATCTGTCCATTTCCATGGCACATTTTTCCTTAAAAGCCTACATAACGGAGCGGCGAAAGTCGAAAAATTGTTTATAAATTTTTGATTATAATTAATTTTACCGATAAAAGCTTGTAATTTTTTAACGATTTTTGGTAACGGTGCGTCTAAAATTGCATTGGCATTCTTATTTGTTTTTGTGATTCCCTCTTCGCTAATGGTATGACCTAAAATTTCAATCTCTTTAAAAAAAATTTATATTCAAAATGGAGACTGCCTATCCTGTGTCAATTAAAAAATTAATATATCTTTTATCTATCAATAATTTCACCTTAAATTTTTTTCGCGACTTCTCTGGAGAATCCCAATCCTCAAAACTTTCTTGCTCCTTTTCTGGGACATCTATCGTTCCAATATATTCTTTCTTACCACGATTTCTTCTCCATATATTTTGTAGATGTTTTATTCCACAGTTACGATAAATTGTATTTAAATTTGGGCAATTTGGTTTTATATGTTTTTTTAATCTACAACAATAACAAATAATTTTTCATACTGATTTATTTTTGTCATACGGCTCCCTTGTCACTGTTTTCGCAATTTTATTAATCTTCTTTCCTGCCGATAATTTTTCATATGAAATCATTCCGTTGTCTATATTGAGGTAGCGATTTGTACAGCCTTTTCCCATGTCAAATCTGGCGTGTTTATTTATTTCATTAATATTTTTTCATTAGTAATTCCCTACACTCGTTTATCCCGCTACTGTATTATACATCTCTTTAAAATCACAACTTTTCTTTTATCTATAATTTATTTATATATTCTGTAATCGTTTCTCCTTTTTCTTGTTCCGTTTTAAAAAAATAATATCTCTCTTTATTTTGGGTTCCATTTTAAAATTTTGGATGCTTAGTTTTAACGTCGTAACCTTCCCCATTTGAAGAAAGTTTTAAATTTTACTCTTCCTTTAAGGAATACCTTATTAAATTCGTTTTTCAAAGTGATTTCAAATGTAAAACTGTATTTTTATCCTTTTTTTTATATTAAAACTTTGTAAAAAAATATAATTTAGGGTTTGATTGGCGGATTATTGTGCAATTTTACCGTGGAAGAAGGTTGGATACCAATCAACAAAAATTTATGGTATAATAAAAAATAATTCGGCGTATAAATATTTTTTTCTTTAAATTTTCACTTAGAAATAAGTTATAGTTACAACACTAGCCATCATATTAGAGACCTGCAAGAGATCCATTTTTTCGCCACACCCTTAGAAAAATAGCATTTACCCTATAGAAATATCAAATAACCTAAAATTTATGAATTTTTTACGTATATGTTATGAGAAAGTATCTAAAATAAACGAAATAATAAAATATAGATAATATACAAGCAAACCATGATTTATCATTCCTAAAATAAATAATAATTTTCTCACCCGGTTTTAATTTTTTGATTGGGTCTAGTTTTGCAAAGCTTTACTCAAACTAGATGATAATCGGTCAATCATACGAATACGCCTTATTCACCTCAGTTGTTTTAATTGACTACTATCTCTACACTATTGAAAGACTCGCTTATTTTTTCTATAATCTATTACACAAGTTTTATCGATACATTAAAATATCCATATATTTTTTAGGTCTTTGTCTTATAACTTTGTCACCGCATCCTTATCTTTTCTACTTATATTGGTTTGCCTTTTCCTAATTCGCGTTTTAAGATGGTGGGATGGAACACCTTTTCAATATGTCGGTAAATATTTTTTACACAATTATCATATTTATTGTAAAATTTATTCTATAATAATTATCTTTTTAATTTCAAATATTTAATTTTTTAGTCTAGCATAAGGATCTATTAATAATAGGATTAAAAAAATAAAATAGGAGAATATTTCATTCGCATAGATACAAAAAAGATGATTTTTTTAAAAAAAACAATTTTTAAAGATATTATATAATTTTATTAATCAGTAATCTTAACAATACATTTTTATTCACATTTTAGCATAAAGCAACAATGGAGTAATTTGGACATAAACCATCATTCAGGTGTTCTAAACAAGCGTCTTTTCTAAAGACGCCATTGTTGAAACAAAACATTGCTATCACAATAATTCGGCCCAATTATTTAATGAAAAATTCTTGGCCCGAATTATTCACTTAGCATCTCTTTATTAATTTTTTTTATCGGTTTAAAATTTTATTATATTTGTTTTTTTTTTAAAATATTTTTTATGTGTTATTTTAATATAAATTAATATGTAAATTTTTAATATATATTTTTTTATAATATAAAATGATTTGTTAAGACAAAAATGAATTAATGACATTGTTTTTAAGGCCCTTTTTTCGAACCGAATTTGTCCTGGTTTTTTATTCTTTTATTTTTCTTTATAATGCAAGGCCAACGATATCAGCGTGATCGCTAAAGGGAGACCTCTCCCTTAGAGCGCCCCAATCAAGTAAATTTGACTTTTTCTAGGGCGTCTGAATGAAATGCTAAGTCGTCGCCATGATTTGAATATTAGGATGATAATTAGAATACCAACATTTTAATTAATATTGTTTGATTTTTTTATTTCAATAAAATTTCATTTTTATTCAAAATATAAAAGGGTTAAATCCATTACTCATATATATTGGACACGAAGTTATGAGAGATTATTTTCCGTTCAACTTGCACCTAACGAAGATATTTCATTCACTTCAGAATTCACATTTTTTCTTCTTTTCGCAAGATGTCTGGGCCACCTTTTTATGGATCATTATAGGATGGAGACTTTATAAAAAAAGATTATTCATCTCAATTTAAGAAGCTTTAATATATTTAATATTCTTTATACACAAATTATAAGTATTTCAAAAATATTGTTTCGCATATTAATATAAATGTTAAATTAAAATATTTTATTATAAAATTGTATCGTTATACATATTTTTAAATTTATTTTTATATAAATATTATATTATGTTAATTATGAATATAGTACGTTATATTTTTTTGTCAAAATTAGATATTACTTTTTAAACAATCATTACTTTTATATCTCATTTTTTAGAAATAATTATTAATTGAACTTTATTATGCTCATAATATATAGTTATTCAAATTAAAATATTTTTGAGGTATTTTTGTATTAGTCGAAATAAAATGTTTTCGAAACAAAACCGCAATTAAAAAAACCAAAAGATGCTTTTACACCAATGCAAAATATACTTTGGTCTAGCTCTAATCACACTTAATAAATCTGGCTAGCCTTAAAGTTGGCCTCAGACTAATTATTCGATTCACATTTTATATACAAATGAACAGCACAATTATTAGAATCGAACACGAATAAAATGGTATATATAATTGATATATCATCTTATTAGAAATATCTTAGACTGGAATGGAAATGATTTATTAAACAATATAAATATAATATTATAAACCTTATAATTTCTCTCTTCTATTTCCATAAACTTCTAAAATATGAATAGAATAAAATAAAGTTAATACGATAATGAATAGTTAATGATAAAAAGCTTTATAGGATAATTAATTTATGATTTTCATTTTAAATAGAAATATATTATTTGCTTTTTTAAATATTATAATTTAAAAAATCTATCTGTTTTAGTTGGATGCTTCATGAAGGATAGGATTGGGATCGACATTCGGATGGACTTTTACCATCTCAATGGTTTTATATAATATCTGTTGAATTAATTTTTTAAAACTATTCATAATCTAGTTGGGTTTTATTTATTTAACATTACTGTAAAGTTGTTAAAGCTCTATTCGGGTCGATTTTAAAAACGACTCGAATAACATTTTAAGCACAATGATATTATGTAAGCCTTAGGGTTTGCCAAATAGAGATCCAGAAATATCCAAGCTTGCATTATATTATTTTAGCTAAAATCTTATCGTTTTTAAAAAGCGATTTGAATCGGGCTTTTTAACAACCCAATTACGGTAACTACAAATCTATTCATGGGATGCTAATAAAGAAAACATTATGTAATAGCAACAACATATTTTTATTCTTGGTAAAACAATGCAATATTATAATAAGTACATAGACTGGCGATTCATAGATTAAAATGCATTTTTAAGGGTTGTGAAATGCAAATCAGGTGGCGAAACTTATATATTAAATTCTTGATTAATTTTTACATAAAATTTTAAAATTGTTTACACGGGAAATCAAAATTGCTAGTCACGATTTTTATTGAAACACATTTAAATGAATGAATCGTTTGTTTAGGTAGTATTACATGTAGAGCTGCCGATTAACTTATTATTGTTATGTTGCATTTTTTATGTACCGAGATTTGTGCATAAATTATTTTAATTTTATCTCATATTAAGACGTTTGACGTATTTTTCGTAAATTGTTGTTAAACGGCTCGATTTAGCCTAAATTAAAATTTCTAGCCAAAATAATATACTATTTTCAAGATTTCGTTAATGTGCAAATTTTCTACCATCTTCATAAGATAAATCTCCAGACTTACGTGATATTTTGGGTGTTAGCAGTTTTTAAAAATTTAGCAACACTAGTTATAAGAGACGTCAGGTGATTATAATAAAAATGAACCTGTTGTATTAAAATTGAAAATATATTATAATATATTTACATAGGATTAACATTTTTTAGTTAAAAAAAGAGACGTTATAACATTCTTAAAGGTCCCTCGGGTGTAGTTTTAAATAGTTCGATTTGAGCTGATTTTTAGAAACGACTAACTCATGCCATATATGAGCAAAATCTGGAATAAAATAATGAATTAGCCATTTTTAAAAATCTGCTCAAATCGAGCAGTTTAACAGCACTACTCGGGTGTTATTCCTAATGCTTAAATTTTCATTTTTTTAATATTTTGTATAATAATTAAAATAAAATATATAATTTATTTCTTAAATATTAATATTTATTTACTCTGTCTACCAAACAGATCGACTCACCAATTTAAGATATATTATTACCATATTGTGCTTTTAAAAGTTAAGCAGACTTCATGCTTAAGGCTGCATCACTAGATTCACATTTATATAATATTTTAAAATAGAACTCGATTTTAAAGAAAAGATACTTCTTATCTTTATTTACCTTTACTTAATGGAATAAAAGGATTGAGGCAGAGAATGATTTTTGCATATGGCACAGTTAATTCCAGACGAAAATCTATCAATCATGAAAGATGATAAAAAAATAGTTAAAAACCGCATTATCGTGAAATAGATGAAGATGGCATCGTTGCCATTAAAATGGAAAAATGATCTATATAGCTTAAAAATTTTCATTACTCAGATTATGTCTTGGAGTATGAAAAGAATCAGAAAGATTGCGATTATAATCAAAATATGAATTGTGTATTTGTTTGACCATTTAAATTGATATTATCGGACGAATATAAAAAGTATCAAATGGTATAAAAAAAATAATTTATTTTGTCATTATAATAAATTCACATTTTAGATGTAGGAATTATAGATTATTTGTACAGCAGACAAATTATCCAACACCATCTAAAAAGCGCCCATGGAGATTAGGAAATGTGCCTCCTCATCTTTACCTATTGGATCAGAAAATGTGTTCATTGTTTAACAGTAGAGGATAAACATCGTTCAGATAGGAGATGCATAGTTTGTGACGTGGCGCTGTCTTTTAACAAAATTGTGTTAAATCGTAATAAATAATAAATCTTGTAAAGTATAGCAGATGTCATACTTTTTGGTAATATCTTTAAAATATTTACTTTTTTGAAAAAAATTTTGATTTTGCAAAATAGGACCTTTTTTGTTAGTAACCTCTGTGCAAGGAAGGGTTAAAAAATATATATCTTTAGATAAAAATTTGAACATTCTGAAAATCGAGAATTTTTATAAATAAATGGGTTCCACGTCAATTCGGTGCAGAAAATTCGGCGCGGCGTCAATTCGTCGCATCGACAATTCAGCGCGGCGACAATTCGGCGCAACGTCAATTCAGCGCGGCGACAACTCAGCGCGTATCTAATACAGTTGCAATTTATTATAAATTTATTAGTATAAAAAAAGGATGATTAAATAGAAATGATTTTGAATGTTGGTCATATTAATTATTTTTTCGTATTTTTTTTACAAAAATCTCAATTTTATTTACTAAATGTGTAGTATCAATAAAAAAAATTAACAACCAATATTTATACCGATTTCCTTGCTGGACCAATTTACCACATTATAAGGTAGGGGAGACAGGGGATAGTCGGACCGATTTTTATAAAATTGGCTATAGTTCCTGGTAGGGGTGGGACCAATACCAATATAATATTGGTTTACAATACCAATACCAATATAAACCAATATATAATTATATATTGGTATTGTTTTTACAACCAATACCAATTACCTAAATATATTGGTTTTGAAATATTGTTTAAATACAATTTTACTTAATACCAATACCAATATTAAAAATTAAAAATAGATAAATACATAAAATTATTTGGTTTTATCGTGGATAATTATATCGTGGATAATTATATCGTGGATAATTATATCGTGGATAATTATATCGTGGATAATTATATCGTGGTATTTTTTTTACTTTCATTCATAAACATATTACATCTGTTATTTCTTCCAAATATTCCTGTGATATCAATATTGGTGTTATTTATAATTATAGTTTATTTTTATTATGGAAGTAAGTTTTCTATATGATATCTATCAATTTTATCTATTTATTCATTTAGGATATTATAATGAATGAAAACCAAATCGAGTTAATAAATATAGATAATGATGTTGATACTAATAATAATATCGATAATGAACAAGAAGAATCAACGATATCTAATAAAAGACGAAATACAGCAAAAATCTGGGAATTTTATACTAGTTGTGATAACAAAAAAAAGGCTATTTGTAATAAATGTAAAAAAAATTATCTATTCCCAATTTTGGAACCTCAGGATTATGGACACATCTTAAATCCATCCACCCAACTTTATATAAGAAATGTGAACAAATAAATAATGGCAGTAAAAAAATTAACACCATAAAATCATTTTTAATTAATGTAAATAATAAAGCTAATTTAAATAATTTAATTATGGACTTTTTTATTCAAAATAATTTAGCCTTTTCAATGGTTGAAAATGAGTCATTTAAAAATTTAATAAGCTTTTGCAACCCCTCATTAACATTAATTTCTAGAAAAACACTTAAAAAAGAAATTATGAAACATTATCATAGTTCTTTTATCAATTTAAAATCTGTACTTTCTAAAATTACTTCTAAATTTTCTTTAACAATGGACATTTGGTCCTCTCCAAATAAAATACCCTTTATGGGCATAACCATTCATTATATTGATACTGATTTTAAATTAATTAATCATTTATTAGATTTTATTCCTTTTTAAATCAGCACATAATGCTATTAATATTTATAATATTTTTAATTCTGTATTAAAAGTAAAATTTGAAATTGATTTTTTTGTATTACATTAGATAATGCTAATAATAATTTAGCATTTTTAAAATTTTAAAACTAAAAGACAATTTTGATAATGTGTGCAAATGTTTTTGCCATATTATCCATTTGTCTATCATGGCTGCATTGGAACCTCTAAATCCAACTTTAAAAAAAATAAGAAATTTTTAAAAAATTTTTAAACTTTCTATATCTAAATTTAATAAACTTGAAAAAATATATCTTGAAAAAAATCCAAATTTAAAATTTCCTCACCCTATTTTGGATATATTAAC